TTAATTTTTCATAAGCAATTTCTCCTCCTTCAAAATCTTGTCCTGTTTTTGTTAATTCATTGTGTGCCTGTCTCATTTCCCCAGCTTAGTGCTCTTGCCAGGTGTTTCTGATGACTGTGCTAACCACAATAAATGGTGAAAGATGCCAAGAAAACTCCCTACGTCCCCTTAGGAACAGCCTTATCCAGCAGCACCCCATGAAAGACCTCAAAGACTTGAAGGGGACTAGCAGGAGGTAATGATGGTGGCAGTACTTGGAACTATTTTTTACTCTAGATTCTCTATGTTAGTCTCTTCCATCTCCAGCTCCTAGACCAATGTCCTCTACATTTCTGAGCTGACATAGTAGATGCTCAGTATCTGAAGAATAAATACCAACGAATCATGGACTCAGAGAATCAGAAGAGCTGAATATAGGACTTTGCCTATGAAACTTTTCTATGTCCTAATTCCAGAGAGGTTCACACATAAAGGAGCTCAGCAAATGTTTGTAGATTGAAAGAAACGTTTCAAGCAAAGAAGGGTGGAAAGCCTGCACCTTTAAAAAAGCAAAGGCATGTCTCCCTTCTTAGCTACATGGTTTAGACCACCAACTTGTCATCAACCAGCCCTAACATCACTCCTAGTTTGGGAGTTTAACTATAAAGACCTTGAGCAAGTTACTTAACCCCTTTGAGCCTCAAGAGGGATTACAAAATATTACTACTGGTTGATACCTACCTCAAAGGCTTATGGTAAAAAAAAAAAAAAAAATTTGAGACGGAGTTTCGCTCTCATCGCCCAGGCTAGAGTGCAATGGCACAATTCAACTCACTGCAAGCTCCACCTCCGAGGCTCAAGCAATTCTCCTGCCTCAGCCTCCCAAGCAGCTGGGACTACAGGTGCCCGTCACCATATCTGGCTAGTTTTGGTATTTTTCGTAGAGTCAGGGTTTCACCATATTGGCTAGACTGGTCTGGAACTCCGGACCTCAGGTGAACTGCCTGCTCGGCCGCCCAAAGTGCTGGGATTACAGGCATGAACCACCATGCCCAGCCTGGTAAAATTTAAATATAGAAGGTGTTGGCACTTGTTGAGAGCTTCATATGTGTTAAGTTCCCTTCTCGCTATTCCAGTTATTCTCATCACTAAGGAAGAACTGTCTCTCAGGCCATGCCAGAAATCCCAGGGCAAATCCAGCCCTTACACAGACGAAATTTCCTTGCACAGTTGTTGCAAGTAAAGAACCACATATAAGATAGTTCTTCACCATTTAGTTGAAGAGAAGTGGATGCAGCAAGAAAGCTATAGGTGGCTAGGCATGGTGGCTCATGTCTGTAATCCCAGCACTTTGAGAGGCCAAGGCAGGAGGATCATTTGAGCCTGGACAACATGGCAAGACCCCACCTCTACCAAAAAAAAAAAAAAAAAAAGTTAGCCAGTTGATGCACACCTGTGGTCCTGGCTACTCTGGAAAAGGCTGAGGCAGGAAAATCGGTTGAGCCCAGGAGGTCGAGGCTATGAGCCATGTTTGTGCCACTACACTCTAGCATGGGCAATAGAGCAAGACTCTGTCTCAAAAAAATAAAGAAAGAAAAGAAAAAAAAGAAAGCTTTAGGTGAAGAGGTGAAATGGAGAGTTGGTTTTTGTCTGAACGTAGGGATGGAGTTTTTATATGTGCGAAAAAATAAAAAGAGATTGGTGCTGGTTGGCTGGGCTCGGTGGTTCACGCCTGTAATCCCAGCACTTTGGGAGGCCGAGGCAGGCAGATCATAAGGTCAGGAGTTCGAGACCAATCTGGTCAACATAGTGAAACCCCATCTCTACGGAAAATGCAAAATCTTAGCCGGGCGTGGTGGCACGCGCCTGTAGTCCCAGATACTCAGGAGGCTGAGGCAGAAGAATCGCTTGAACCTGGAAGGCGGAGATTGCAGTGAGCCAAGATCAAGCTACTGCACTCCAGTCTGGGCAACAGAGCAAGACTTCGTCTCAAAAAAATAAATAAATAGACCGGGCACTGTGACTGACGCCTGTAATCCCAGCACTTTGGGAGGCCGAGGCAGACGGATCACCTGAGGCTGGGAGTTCGAGACCAGCCTGACTAACATGGAGAAACCTCGGCTCTACTAAAAATACAAAATTAGCTGGGTGCAGTGACACATGCCTGTCATCCCAGCTACTAGGGAGGCTGAGGCAGGAGAATCACTTGAACCTGGGAGGTGGAGGTTGTGATAAGCTGAGATCGTGCCATTGCACTCCAGCCTGGGCAACAAGAGCAAAACTCCATCTCAAAAAAAATTTTTTTAATAAATAAATAAATAAATAAAAAGAAATTGATGCTGGCCACAGTCTGGGAGTTCTGTAATACTGAACCCAGGAAAGGAGCCTGGAGGTCTAAAATGTAATTAATCTGAAACCAGAAGCCAGGCTTCAGAAAACGGACTTTGTCTTGTTGGTTTGTGTTTTCCATGATTTATTTCTGTCTTCTTTTTCCTTTCATTAGCTTCTTCTCTTATTTAGTAAAATTCTTTTGGAAAAGGCCAGCCTGTCTCTTATTCTAAGGAGGGCCTGGGTTTTAAAGGCAGAGGAACATATCCCAAGAGAAATGTAGGCATGTGATGGCAAGAATCAAAGCAGAAGAACCCCGAAGAGAAAGGAAACCAGAATTGGGAGTTCTGTAGCTTCTCTAGTCGTAGAGCTGGTGCTTCCATAGATCCTCTGTGCTAAAAACATGAAATCCAGGACCAATCCCTAACGGTGTTGGTTTCGGGCAGTATGTGTTTTCGAATCACACAGTTCCCTCATGCCCTCACAGGGGAGCTAGCTCAGCCATTTGGCTGGTTCCACAAGAAGTTTCCTTCTCTAGTAACATT